CACAGGTGTGCACCAAAATTGCATACATTAGAGTGCAGGCAGCAAATCCCTTGCTCCCTCCATCTGGTATGAAGAGAAGACTTGGGGAGGACACAGGGAAATGGTACAGAACAGTCCATGACAGAGCGGCCTGATACACTGGGAATGCCTCATGTGATTGACAAACAAGACAAGACTTACGAGGGTTGTCACAATAACAGAGTGTGGTCTTAAGGGTCTACCCAGAAAAGTGGAAAAAACTCATGATTGCTTCACAAGTTTCCTTTTCAGTGTACCACCCCTATAAGTTGTAGTTCTCTTGAGTTTGAGCTCCCTTGTCAAGTTTTTTCTTTTCTTTTGTTTTTATTTGCTTTGGGGAAAAAAATCACAAGTATTGAAACAAATATTCATTGTTTGGCTTATTTCAGGTATTCTTAATTAAACGTACGACAGACTTTATTGATCAATTGAAAATATACACAAGGAATAATAGCTTTTTCTCTGTTTTTTAATATTTGACTTTCTTCCAATTATATAACCCAGTTTTGCTTATAAAAAGGGCACTTGTTTCTACAGGAGCTGTGCACAGTTTGTCCAGTTTCAGGAACAGTTTGCAAGCATCTTCCTTGTCATTGCTGAGGTTCATCTTCACTTGCTCAGGAAGTAAAATCTACACGATTCCAAGGATCAGCCACTAAGTTGTTCTTTCAGATTCTATTTCTCCATAGAGTTCAGCTAACTTTTTAAACTCGGGACCCCAGTCTCCAAGATAGTGATAATCCTGATCTGATTGTGTGGTTGCTGAATCCAGTGAGCTGATAGACCCAGCTTCTGACCTCTGACCCTCATAGGCGTAAGTCTGAAGAGAGTCATATGGGGGGACACTGGGGTCTAGGTCTGCTTCTGCCAGTCTTTGCTTAATAAACTCCTGGACATCTATACTTTCTAGGGCAGATAGTGTCTGGTGTCTTGGAGTGAGCTTCACTTCCGGTCGAATATCTCTCCTGTACTTGAGCTCCTCAGCAGCGGAAGGGTTTCTCAAGGCTGTGATATCAAAGGCCTCAGTGTCTTCCTCCCCACCTCCTTCATCGTCGTAGGTGACCACATTCTCTCGCACATCTTCTTCTGAGATGATCAGTGGCTCTTTTTTACTGCGCCTCAGGGTGATAAAAAGTACTACAATTGCTGAAGGAAAATAGAAAGAGAATGAAGAATTAGGGGAAAGAAAGACATTTGGGGGAAATTCGACATCAGCAATTTCCAGTCCCTGTCACCAACTGCCCTGAAGCAAAGCCCTTACTTTTGCACACTCTGAATAACAACACAAGATATTTCAAGGTCTACAAAAAGATAAAAAATGAGTGCCCCAATGAAGCAATATGCATTGCTGATCTGCGGGAAATCATAATATTCTCATTAAGAGGCTCAGGAATTCAAGTTTCTCGACTCACATTGCAGAGTAATTGTTCAGTATTTTAAGTGAAGAAAGTAGGTGACAGAAAAGAAGTATGAAATTTTGAATGCAAAAATAAAAATGCATTGGTCTATCTATATATGCTTAATCATTTTAGGTAGATATACTAAAGGCAGGATATATTGTTTCTGCAAAATTGGAAGAAGGAGCTTCTACCTTCAATTTTTTATATATTGTAGACAATCAAAGAAGGGATATTGCATGTGGTTGATCTCATTTGTGCATTATCAACTTTATATAATTATGTATTCATAGTTACATGTGTCTTTCAAGCTAAAAATGTTACCTTTTTTGTACACAGAAACTGCTCTGAGAATCATTTTCATAGAACTTTCTTATTTCATCTTAATGACAGAGCTATAGTTTTACTCAATTATTCTATTTGGAAACTGAGACTAAGGAGAGGTTATAAATATAATTATGATCTAAGGAACGGTTCGCACAGATAGCTCCTGGAAGAGCTGGAGCCATAATGTAGGGCTTCTCACAACAAAGTCAATGATATTTCTGGTACAATTTTTCACTTCACTGTGTGTGTGTGTGTGTGTGTGAGTGTGTGCCTGTGTGTGCGTGTGTGTGTGTGTGTGTGTGTGTGTAATGAGCAACTGAGTGACCAGTTGGACTGTGGCTCACTGGTGGTTCTGTCAGTACTGTGGATTAGACAATAGCACCAATAATGTTAATATCTCTAGATCAGGTGACAAAAATAAAGTTCACCAACTTTCCTTCAGCAACTTCTCTTTATTTTAAATCTATTTGGTATACTAAATTGTTACTAAATAGAAATAATTACCTCACATCAGCTTTGTTATAGACTGCAACTAGGCCCAATAGTGTACTACAACTTTGTAGATGGTTTTCTTCATGCACAACTAATATTGTAAACTTTATAGTAGTAGTTATGAGGTTTGTTAATATCTTCAACTTTTGTACATTATAACACAGTACTTAGGGAACTACATTAAGCTGATATCTTATATTATTAAGTTTATCACAAAAAGAGAAAAGCAGGACACCCAATTATATGTAAATGAGATAAACACAAATGTACATTTTATACACAAATACTTATATGTGTATGTATGTAAAATATAATATGGTGCCCAAGAATACTTGGGATTCTTACCTACAAACAAAAATATTTCATAAAGCATATTTATTTATTTATTTATTTATTTTCTTTTTATTTTTTATTTATTTATTTTTTTTGGTACCAGGGATCGAACTCGGGTCCTTGCACTTGCACAGCAGGCAGTGAAACCACTGAGCTAAATCCCCGGCCCAATAAAGCATATTTATGTAACAAATATTATATCACTGCACTTGACATATTTATCCTATGATACATTCATATATCTGCACACATTTTTATCTGAAATTCACATTTAACTTACATTATATCTACCAAAAATTCTTGTAAGCAATCTTTAGGAAATAGTTGTTTTGTTTTCTGAGGGGAAAAGATTTACCGAATGCAATAAATATGTCTTTTCAACCTCTTTGTAATGTTTAGAATAAATGTACCTCTCAGTTTTCTAATTCAAAGCTTCTGAACTACACCTTGAAGTAACTTATTCATTCTATTCAAAGGCTTAGAAGTTATCATAAACTGCATATCTGTTTGTCTTTATGATTAATTGAGGAAGCTATTCTACATTTAACCAGCTATTTATACAAACTACATAATTTAGTACATTAAAATTTCTTGCCTTTATTAATATATCAAGATATTTTCCTTTATTCTTTGAAATGGTTTGTTGTTGATGTCAAGGAAATTTATGTGCATGCATAATAGGAAAAATGTAATTAATACCATTTCAGAAGTATGGAGGCAATCTGCATCCTTCACTAACATTAGTGCAATGTTTCAATCATTTTGTGTAATATATCTACTTAATGCATTATGGGGGATAGTGATATTTTTCATTACAGTTGCTTATATTAGTTTATTCTCCAAAAGTTAGGAAAACATTCCTGATATGTTTTGATCAAAATGTCAATATTATTAGTTTGAACTTTAAATCCTTAAATCTATTTTCCAATTACAGACATTTATCAGTAACTATATATTTCTAGGTTAGTTACATACCTGCTTCTTAGAAGGGTCAACATATAAATAATAATGTAATCTGTTATACCCTTAGTAAAAGAGAATGTAGGTTATAATTATATCAGAACATCAAAGCATGCAGAACATATAAATTCAGTAAAGGCAAATTCAAATCAGTTCTGAGAAAAACGCTGGAATATGGATGCTATGATGTGTTTCTTGCAAATTGATATTCATTTATGTTTGGTTCTGCATATATTTCTCGAGTATATGGCACAAAGCAGATACTATAGAATAATTCTTACATGAATAAACAGAAGAATAATGTTTGTGAACAATGGAAAAGTAACATTGTGTTAAGTGAATACTCATGAATGTTAATAACCTTACTAAGAAAATTATGCTTAAATATTTTAAAAATTCAGTTCATGGTTACTCATGTTATACTCTTAATTTTACTGGAGGATATTTTTGGACAGTTGAAAACTTAATGTTTCTAAAGAACCCCAAGGACAACATTTAGTATTAGATAATCAATCCACACAAAATGTATATAAATATTGATATATTGAAACATACATAGATAGAAAGAGAGATTCAAAATTTTATTAAAAAACTAGAAACCAAATGAAATATTCAAATGAATTCCATAGTCTCCCAAACTAAGCATATGACCTGTACCACACACCAAAAATTAAGCATATGATATATGATACCTCTTCTAGTAGGTAATTTGGGGTCATATAATATAAAATAAATTGTCCTTTTTGTTGAAAACTATAAATGATTACTCATATAATTAGAGAATTTTAGTTTTGTATTCTGGGCTGGAACTTAAATAGGCTATAGTATTTTTAAGAGCCTTTTGCTTTAAAACAGATGTTTTATTAGTTTTTAGTGTACTTTTTTTTCTTCCCTTATCTTCAAGTTTGGACATCTTTGGTATTATATTTGTATGTAAGAAATTTAAAATGAATTTGGTGAGATTTATTCATTAATTGGATCCATATGGTAAATAAAATTGGGAAAATAATTTTTGAGGAGTCTCTATACTGATTTCTATAGGCGCCATAAACTAGTTTTCCATATGCAGGAGAATGAATCTAGACTTGCATGTTTTAGCCTGTACTGAAATGAAATAAAAATGAAGCAGACTATTTTAGCTATTAAAATGGAAACATTTAATCTGCTGGTAAATAAAATAGCTAAAATTTAGGAATACAGAGACATTGTCAAGGATTTTATCTACTTGTATCATTTAAAATTAGGATTTTTTTTGGCTTTCAAACAACATTTTCAAATAAGCAAAATGTACAAAGAATATATCCAGATTATAAAGTGTTAAAATATATACTAAACTATAATAAGACAAAATAAGCATAATGAGAATTGACAGATAATTTTAAATTCCTTTTAGCTAAAATTTCATTTTCACATGTTCAGAAAGTGACAGGAGTCACCTGATATCTCAATTAATTATCTAAAGCTAGTACTGGATTTATACAAACACAGTTTATTTTTATAAACCATAAAGCTAATACCTAATATGGTTTTCATTATCATATTAATTCAATAATTTGTTTGAATTTTACATATGAATGTTATTTCAGAATTTCAGATGGTATAAGGTATTTTTCCTATCTTTGGTGTTAGTGATACTTTCAATGAAAATTGTGAGCTTACAAATAAACTTTGAAATTAATTTTATTTTCCAAATGACTATATTTTAAATCTGTTGGGCAGATATTGTCTGAATAATCATATAAACTTTTGCAATACCATATAAATTTTAAATTATATTATAATTATTAGTTCTTAAACACAGGCTCAAGAAATTATTCTATATCGTAAAAGTATAAAATGATCTATAAAAATAAAATTTCAAATTCTAACATTGTTCAGAATTCCTGAGGAATAATATACATAATACAAACATTCTGTCATTTATACCAGAGTCTAAAAAATATTTTCATGGAAGTCAATAAAAATAAAGTACCATTTCCATGAAATAATTATATTCTGTTCCATAATATACCTTGAAACTTTCTTTTACATTAAAATTTTTTCAGTTATTTTTAAAATTTCACCTTATATCCAAAAATAATTGAAGATAATTTATCTTCTTCAAATAGACTGTCTTATAGAACAAGCACCCCAGAAATACTCATATTAAAACCACCAAGCTCTGGGCTGAGGATTTAGCTCAGTTGTTCCACTGCCTGCCTCTCAAGCACGAGGTCGCTGGTACAAAAAAAAAAAAAAAAAATCACTGAGCTCTATTTTCTGTGACTTCACTTAGGAACCCTGGAATATTCTAGAGTATCTGTTGTTGTATAGCTTTGCTTTTTAACTTTGGAGTGTTTTGTGGTCTTTTTTTTAATTTTCAAGGGCAAAATCATAAATATTTGACTGTATAGAGGAAATACAAATATGTTCAATAATTATAGAAATAAATCAAATTTTGGAAACCCAATATTTTCCTTGCTTCCTTGGTCCCATACATTTTGTGTCAAAGATGTACTGCAGTGAGACACTTCTTGCTGTGGTATACCAAACCCCCATGTTCCCCACAGCTAAATTTAAGTCATAATTTTGGAGCTCAATTTTTTTAAGCTCTAAGTAGCTTTGACACTGTTTACTGTTTCTGCATAGCATATTGTCCTCTTTGAAACAATTATTCCCTTGATCTTTATGATATTATGTTTCTCTAATTTTCTGTCTTCTTCACTTCCTCACTATCCTCTGCTACCTCATCTTTCTTGACCTACTGATTACACTACATAGCTCAGACCTAGTCTTTGGTCTCTGAATATTTGTCTGTTGTGTGACTTAAAAAAAAATGCATCTTCAGTGTCTGTAGCTCAGATGAAATTAGGGTTCTCATTCAGAAGAGACAAAGAGACTTGTCTTGCTACCTCACCTAGATATCTAAGTTTTTCAAAGGTTACAATTGATTTCATGTAAAGTGTCTTGACATTACTCAGTTTCCTTTAGATTCTCTGAAAATATCCTAATGCAAATTATATTCTCTGAGCGGGACAAACTGTCTTCCTCTTAACTGTTTTGTCTATGGGGTCTCATGACAGCAGGAGACTTAGTCTCCAATTAATCCATTGCGATCTTTTGTAAATTGCAAATTATATCCTAAAATTGTCTTATTTTAAATCTTTCTTTACCCATCTGGATTACAGTCAACCTTTGGCCTGCCTAACAAATTCCAAATGGTCTCATTCCTGCTCCTTTTCAGTCTTCTTCCATCTTACTGTTCCCTCCATCTATGCAAGTAATTTGTCATCCGTACCAGGAACAAACTAGGGAGCACTCCTCACAAGAACTTAGGGCAAAACATACACTTCCATTGTCATTTATGGGAAGAACCCAAAAAGGAAAAAAAGTTAAGTCTGCTAAGGGAAAGGAAGAGTGTGGGAACAGAAAAATGAACTTGTAACTACTCTACACTTTGAACCAGAAATGACTGATATCTTTATTATAAAATCTGAGTTTGTCATTTTTTTTACTGTATTTTACTATAAATGGAAATGCAAAGGGTTTATTGTAATATGAGATTTAAAAAATTAGGATAATATTTAGAATATTAACACAGGTAATGTAAAATTAGACACTTTTTAATAAAATAATGTAAATTTCAAATTTTAAAAATTCTACTGGTTTGAATTTAATTTAATAAAATGTTGATATATTTGAATGAAGTAAGCTGGAATCAGTGTTTTTAAAAAAGAAAACAATAGGGACTAACTAATATTTTGGACCAATGGAAGTTTCTTATTTACCATATAGGTTTATGGTATCAATATGATATTTTATATATTAGTTCATTGTGAAATATTATCTATTGTCAAATTAATTAACATATTCATCATCTAAGTTATCCCCATTTTTTGTGTATGTAAGTCTACCTAAATCTACTCTCTTGGCAATTTCCAGTATACAATTCAATATTGTTATTAATTAGAGTCCTCTTGCCATACATTAGATTTCTATTTTTATTTTTCCTATGTGAATAACATCCAAATGCTTTGAGTCTTAATGAGATTCATTTAGAATTATGCTCTTGGAAATAAATTGTCAAAACTTTTCCTAGGTAGGATTCAGAGTATTTTATGATTTCTTTCCTAAACTATTCAGTTTTCATTCTTTCTCTGATATTCCAAAGCTTTCATCATGTTGGAATCAAATTAATTGTAGATTACAGAGTACTGTGAAAGTTAATTAAAAGCAAATGTGTTCAGTGATGTATTCTTTCCCACATTAATGCATTCCTGGTACTTATACAGTGTAAAAATGGCCTACTCCTACTCAGACTCACATCACATAACCCAGGTGCAGAATGACTTACCCAGGAGGATGACAACACAGAGCAGAATAGCGATTAGGGCCCCAGTGCTCAGACCGGCGGAGGACAGAAAGGCTTCTGCGTGGCAGGTCCGCACGCGCCCATCTCTCTCGCATGCACAAACCCTGATGGTGAGGGTGCTGCTGCTGCTGAGAGAGGGGATTCCACCATCAGAGATCATAATGGGCAGATAATACACATCCTGAATAGTTCGACTAAATCTCCTCCGCCTTGTCAGAATGCTGGCTGTGTTATCTATGACAGACATAAGCAAAACAAAATATACTTAGTAATGCTGCCATTAAAGATTCACATTTCCTTTAATGGATAAAATGTGTATGTGCGACTTTTTTTAACCTTGGGAAACACAAGAGAACATGAAGGGGCAATTATTAGGGAGTTGGTATTGCTAATATTTATTCTCAAATTGAGTGCCCTAGTTTGAAAACTTGACACAGCCAAACTACAGGGGAAGGAAAAGAGTACAAAGACAGAGGAGGGAGGAGGTAATAAGCATTTTGGACATGGATGCAGCAGCTAAAAGATGTAAGAAATACAAATGACCTGAAACCCAGGGTATCCTAAACTTCATGGTGAGCTGGGGGGACTGTCCCAAACATTCTGACAGCAAGTGATAGGAACAAAGTATTTTTACCAAATTATGGAGATGATAACACATAAAAAATCTGTAAAAACTACTGGTAGAGATGATATTTCTATGGAAACACCACATTGATACTTTTAAAAATTTAACTATGATTTGAAGCTCTCTCACTAGGATGAGCATACCATGGGGAAGTTAATGATGGATACAATAGTTAATTCTGTATTATATACTTTTTAAATGCTATGTATTATAATAAACTCACAGAAACTAGTAAAGAAAAATGTGCTAAATTCTTTGCTTTTTTTTTTTTTTTGGTACTGGGGATCGAACTCATGTGCTTTACTGAATGTTAAATTTTTAT